AGGACACACGAGATAACCAAGTGTGAATAAAACTTAAGGAAGTTGTACCTTTTAGCATGTATATCGGGATTCAGACAATAACTCTGAAAGGTATTACAGTAATTTTTATTGAAGACACACGAGATTTATTTTACCAATATTTCAGTTGGCTGAACGCCAACCCATATCAAGGTATTATAATATTTTGAAGTGTGTTTAAAGGTTGATAAAGGTTGGCGTTCAGCCAACTGAAATATTGGTAAAATAAATGATATTTTGATCCAATATATGCCTTTTTATTTAAAGATTTATTTATGGATTGCTCTATTTTCAAAATAAAATATTATGTATTGCAATATTTCAAAAAGAAATATGTATTTAGGATTGTTTAGGTATTCAAAAATGCAACAATTCTATCTGCATATCTCCCAGTATTACACATGTGTTAGACAGATGTGCTCCATATGGAATCGTTTGAGAATATATTTTATGTATCATTATTCCGTAGGTAGCACTGATGCCTCTGGAATATAAAAATACATCCTTATTTAACCCTAGCCATCAACTATGCATAGCAACAAGGAGATACACAATAACCTTTATTAAGACACACGAGATAACCAAGTGTGAACAGTTTTTGTCTCCCTAAAAAAAAAAAAAACATAGAGACGACCGACGACATCAAATACTTTCCATTTAAATTATGATGCATTAGCGAGCCATCTGTTATCAAAATTCGAAATTATTATAGACGCGTATGATTCTTTTAAAAATAAAACAATTTCCTACTGCCCTTACTGCAATGAAAAAATTAATGGGAGGGCCTGGCTCATCAGTGGTGAACCCTCCCAGCGGTTTCGCCAGTTTAATCTACCATATCGCTGTTATATTGCATTTTTGGAACTTTCTGATGAGCCAGGCCCTCCCATATATTTTTCCATTGCAATAAGGGCAGTAGAAATTGTTTTATTTTTAAAAGAAGCATACCCCTCTATAATAGGACTTTCCATTTAGGTTTTATCCATGAGTGGATTTCTATTTTTACCGATAGATGGCTTCATTTATGATGATATGTTCTATCTCGCGACCAGTCTGGTCCATTCTGTGACATAACCAGGATCACGTGACCTTTTAATGTCTCTTAATCAACCGCCATCAACCAGCCTTGCCCCAGTGACCAGAAAGAAAGTTACACTTCCTAAGAAACTCTTATCGTCTGATAAAAAGATCCCACTTTAGTAAACAAGTTCCTTTTTTTTTTTACTTCTAACCTCAAAGTTATTAATAAAACCTCCCAACAGAAACCTCATATATAGAACAGTCGATATTTCTGGATATTCTTTTGGAAATTATTCTCTTCAGTATAAGTTAAATAAAACAGGAAACTGTATTTCTAATTAAGAAAAGAAAAGAAAAGGTATCTACTTATCGGGTAATTGAAAGTTGCTGATAGCTTGCGCCATCTATCGGAATAAATATCAACTATTCGTTGGTTTTAAATTATATCCCAGAATTGGCCAAATACCCATTCTTGATTAAGAATTAAGAAAAGCCGACGAGGGCCATTAGCCCGAAACCCTGGTCTCCTGGAGGACGCTTCTCAGTTTACCAAAGCTGGTGTTGTGGCTTTGTTACCAACCTGAATCTGCTATTTTGGCGGCGATGGTCAGAAGTGGCGTCTAGTTTTGACGTCTATTTTGACAAGAGAGGTGACCTTTATAGATATATATATATCCTCCCGACAAAATTTCCTTCTAGATTTTATACTGTTTGTTAGGGAGTTCTTGAACAAAATAAGTTTTCTACCATTTTAGAAGGTAACATGAATTTGTAATCTCTCTACGTGTGTAAATATTCGACTTTGATAAAATAAATTCGCTATTTTGACGGGAGAGGTTATCTATGTATATATCGATATATATAAAAATGAATGTTTGTATGTTTGTTGGTTTGTATGTCCGGTATACAAATTCGCAGTAGTTCACTAATTCAAACCAAAATTTCCATACATAGGTAAAAAATAACGGGGAAGACGATAGGCTATTTTTAAAAAATATATAAATCAATCATTAAAACTATATATTCAAATTATTCTACTTAGCTCACGAACAGCGCCCTCTATCAAGTACTAAAAGGTTATAAATACGTTTAAAATCTAAATCTTCTCAATATTTTATTAATAATAGTTCGCTTAATAACACATATAATAAAAATATTTATATAATAACTGCTCTAATTTGAAATATTTGGTAGGTTTTATTTATTTATATATTTTCATTTTTAGATATAACTTATCTAATTCGCCTGTTTAAAATACCTGCTCTAATTCGAAATATTTGGTATGTTTTATTTGTGTTCACTCTATTTCTATTTATTTGAAGTATTATAATTTCTATGTATCAAAAACCTATTTCAAAAAGGTCGTTAGAAATATGTAAGGCCTGAAATAGCTTCACATGCGAATATTTATAATGCCAAGCGTAGCTTAATGGTAAGGTGTACGGCTTCGTATTTCCACAACCTTGGTTCGAAACTTAGCCTGGGTTTTTTTTTTTTTAATTATTATTGAAGCAAAGATTTTTTTTACAGTACCTAAATTTCCATACATAGGTAAAAAAATACGAGGAAAACGATAGGCTATTTTAAATTATATATAAATTAAATATTAAACTCTATATTCAAATTATCTACTTAGCTCACGAACAGCGCCCTCTATCAAGGTTATAAATACGTTTAAAATTGAAATCTTCTAAAATAATTCTTAATAATAGTTCGCTTAATAATTAGAATAGGTTGATCTAAATCGAAATATTTATAGACGCTCGCTCGATTTGAAGATTTATATCGTAACTAATCTGACTGAAATTTTAACAGTATATAGAGTAGAATCTGGAAAAACTTATAGTGAAATTTTCAGGTCTCTTTCCCGAATATTCGTCGAGTTGCCCTTTTGCTCGCGAGCAGCGCCTCTACGGTGAAGATGGAGGTAATATCAGCTGACCTAATGTACATATAAAGTTTGGACGGGACGTTTCACAAGAGTGACATCCACGGCGCCAAATTATAATTGTAACGCATAGTGTTTGAATAAAACATTTAATCGGGTATACCCGGGCGTTGCCCGGGTCATTCGTCTAGTATATATATATATAGATATTACCCCTGACAATAGTGGCTAAGTATACATATCTGGGTTACCCTCTGACTACAAAAATCTCGACCCAATATGCTTCCCAATACTTTAGAAACAAAGCACTGAATGCAATTAATGCACTTTGGAGAATCCTTACAAAGGCGCGAATAAAGTCCTTTACCTCAGTGATGAAACTTCTTGACACTATTGTTCTTCCTACGTTACTATATGCGGCACCAATGTGGGCAATTAACCAGCTGAAGACAGTCAATAATACCCAAGATGCATTTCTTCGTCGTCACTTAGACTTACCAAACTTCACACCAGGATATATCCTCAGAAGAGAATGTGGAAGAATATCAACTGAGATTAATGCTGTAAAACTCACATTAAAGTTTTGGGTCAGGATTTTAAAAATGGAGACGAGCAGATTACCACATGCTTGCTTAAACTATCTCTGGAAAGTCACCGCGAAAAAGAAATAGAAAACAGTTTTACTCAAAATTTAATAAAAATTCTAGACTCTAAGGGATATTCCTTTCTTAAGGGCTGCGAAGACTACTTAGCCATACAGAAAGAATTGCCAGGCATAATTAGAACCACCACAGACCAACTAATTCAAAACGATCAGATGAAAATCACTGATTCAACCCACTTTGCTCACTACAAATTTTGAGTGAATCATTCATGACAGAGGAGTACCTACGATTAAATATCTCGCTTCCCAACAAAAGACTAGTTGCACAACATAGAGTTTTTATGGCAATTTTTCAGGGAAGAAAGAAAAGACTTCTGGAAAGAAAATGGCCGGAACTGTATACTTTGTGAGGATCTCATGGATGATAATTTGGTTCACTATTTCTTCCAATGCCCTCTCTTAACAGAAAAACGTACTGAAATATTCCAAGCCCCTTACTCTGGTCAATTTAGATACCATCGCATATGTCAACTTCTCTCTTCAGCTCTGAATGATGAATTACTGATTGTTAGATACTTTAAGTTCTGCACAGAAGCTGAGCGCATTAGAAAGAATGCAGGGCAAAGGATACTGAAGGATGACCTATCTGTAAATAAGTAACTGAATGTGAGACAAACCTTATTTTGTTGTAAATGTTTCCTCTTCCCTCTCCTCTTGTTGACGTGTAAATACGGCGAATCCTGTATGGGGCGGAATGCCCTAAATAAAGGCTTTTGTTGTTGTTGTTTGTTATATATAGATATTAAAAATAAAAACAAAAGAGGCATATCCTGACCAGGCTCACATGAGCTTTTCTAGATGGCAGATCGCCAAAGTGGAGCAAAAATAAACTAAACGTTGATAAATCAAGAAAAGTCAACCACGAACGCGTTTCGGGCTGTTGGCCCTCGTCAGCGTGGTGTAGACTGTACCTCAACGACCAAAATTTAGTCCCAGAGGTTTCCTTAGAAATCAAAAAATGGGAATTTAAGGCCATTAAATCTCTAGTTACCTCCACAACTTCTCCAAGGAAATTAAAACCTTATAAAACCTTAGAATTCCTACTTTTACATTAACTTTTAAATTAACGACGTTCCTAGTGTAATGACATCTGCTATTGCATCAGGTGAAATTGTCTTAAATTATCCTTATAGGTTTTTAATTATTTTCCTTAATGCTAAAGGAAAATTCCAAATTAGGTTCAAGTCTGAACGTTTCACGGAAACTTAATTATTGCAAAAACCGATAGAAAATCTCGGAGTCTTTAAATATTCTATTGATATTTTTTTTTACTTATCCCTAGTACACGTGGTACAGGCCATGATAATCATGGTGGGTAGGTGTAGACGACTGCTTTTACTGTAAGTGCCCCTAGTACACGTCTATATGTCTACACATGTGGAAAGCAGTTCAACTTTGCACAAAAAAAAGTAACCACGCCGGGAATCGAACTCGAGGTCTTCTGGGTGAGAGCCAGATATTATGCCACTAGACCACATGGGAAATTTGTCTGGGTTTGATTTTAATGAGAAAGGTTTCAACCGATATTTTGGATTTGGCATAGCTCCTCTTGTACTATCAAGTTCCATGATTAGATTTCTTCTTTTTTTGCTTATCCCTAGTATGTTGGAAAAAAAGATAATAGTAAATCAATGATCTTGAAATACTTTTAGACTGACAACACTGTAATATAAAAACGAGAACAAAGGAGTGTTTTGTTTTGTTTTACAAAATTAGTAATTATAATGTAAATTGTTGAATGTTCTTTTCTCTCTCTCTTTGAAAATAATAAATTTAAAATACTTTCTTAAAAGGTAAATTGCCTAATTCTTTAAAACCACTTCAGCTGTAAGTAAACTTTTTATTTGTTGTTTTTGGTTTTTTCATTGTCTGAACCATAAGAGATTCCCAACATAGTACACATAGTACAGGCCATGATAATCATGGTGGGTAGAGCTAGACGACTTCTTTTACTGTAAGTGCACCACATGTCTACACATATGAAAAGCAGTTCGACTTTTGCACTTACAAATATGCCAGAGCCCCGTTTGATTACTTGCACTCACTGGTGGGGTTGGACTTTTTCAAGAATCGGGGGGTCATTAGAATGTACATTAGATGTCTTATTAACATTAATAAAATTTTCTTTAAATAATAAACACTACGGCTAGTTAAAGTTTTATTTTTTCAACGTTTCAATTAAATATTCGTCAGGAGAAATAAATAAAAAGAAAACATTTGGCAAGGAAAGAAAATAAAACTTTAACTGTACGAAGTGTCTATTTTTTTAAAGAAATATGAATGCCGGTCAGGCAACCTCTATCTTTACTATTAGTAAATTTATATAGATGGCGTGTTATTGATTTGTATTAATTTATGTCTAACTTGTCCTTATTGTTTACGGAAGAGCATTGCTCGATGCAAATATTTATATGTAATTCTACTGTCCTTAAAGCGTATGTCCATAAGTTGCTTGAATACCATTTCTGAGATTCCACCCTTTAATGTAACATATAAAAGCAGAATGATCCAATACAGTATTAGAGCTCTAAGACAAGCATGTCAAATTCAAATCCTAACACGGGCCAAATAAAAAAGTAATAAGATTATGTGGGCCGCGAAAAAAGAAAACAAGTAATTAAATTTTTATATATAAAATAAAAGGACTTAAAAGCGCGAATGTTTCTTTTATACATAAAACGAACTTCTACTGTCCTTACTGCGATGAAAAAATATATTAGAAGTTCGTTTATGTATAAAAGAAACATTCGCGCTTTTAAGTCCTTTTATTTTATATGTATAGATGGCGCGTTATTGCTTTGTGTTAATTTATTCCCAACTGGCCTTGTCTTTATAGTTTGCTGAAGAGCATTGCTCGAAGCAAATATTTGAATGTAATTCTACTGTCCTATAAGCTTATGTCCATAGTTTACTTGAAAACCATTTCTAAGATTCCATCCTTCAGTGTAGCATATAAAAGCAGAATGATCCAATGTAGTATTAGAGCTCTGAGAAGCGGTCTGGTGGATTAAATTGGCGAAACCGCTGGGAGGGTTCACCACTGGTGAGCCAAGCCCTCTCAATATATTTTTTCATCGCAGTAAGGACAGTAGAAGTTCGTTTTATGTATAAAAGAAACATTCGCGCTTTTAAGTCCTTTTATTTTATATGTATAGATGGCGCGTTATTGCTTTGTGTTAAATTTTTATAGTAACATTTATGTAGGTTTATTTTAAAAAATACTAATAAGAAAAAAGAAGGTAAAGTTAATATTTTCTCCCTGATATATTGTCTGGTGGCCGCAAATTTATTCGTTGTGGGCCGCATGAGGCCCGCGGGCCGCAAGTTTGACATGCCTGCTCTAAGAGAAGCAGTCTGGTAGATTAAATTGACGAAACTGCTGTGAGGGTTCACCATTTATAAGACAAGCCCTCCCAATATTTTTTCATCGCAATAAAGACAGTAGAAGTCTTTTTTATATGTAAAAAAAACATTCGTGTCTTAATATTTTCATTTCCGATATATATATGGCGTGTTATTGTTTTGTATTAATTAGTAAAGAGATTCATTAATTATTTTAAATTCCATATTTATAGATTAGAACTTCCATGAGAGGACACTCTCTAGAAGACACCTCTCAACAAAGTATAGTTTCGACTAAAATAAACTCTTCGATTTAAAATAGAAAAATAAAACGGAAAATTAAACGGATCTTGTGCGAATTTACTATCATTTTTCTTTAAGTGAAATATATAGTGTCGGAGTTCATTATCTGATAAGGGCATCTTGAACAGAAGGTAGAAAATCTCTAGTAAAATCGACTAAAATAAACTCTTCGAGTTAAAATAGAAAATTCGCACAAGATACTCCTCTTTAATTTCCGTTTTATTTTTCTAAAGGATAGTTTCAATCGTCAAAGTTGTCATCTTCACTATATAGCAACACTTTGGTAAGAGGACAACTCTCTACTGTTTGTATGCTGAGATGCAAGCTGTATTTGCCTTTGTGAAAATTACTGATTACGTTTTCCCTCCCTTATATAATGTATATACCAGGAAGGTATATACAGGTATTTCCCCTGAGACATATTTATAGATTTAATAACATTTTTCAAGAACTAATAGAACCTCTCTATAAAGGACAACACCTAGTTACGGAGCTAAAGTGTCCTTTAGGTAGAGGTATCCTCTTACCAGAGAGCAGCTACAGTAGAACTACCTCTCTGTATAGGACGACACCTAATTACAGAGCCAAAGTGTCCTTTAGGGAGAGATGTCCTCTTACCAGAGAGCAGCTACAGTGGAACTACCTCTCTGTATAGGACGACACCTAGTTACAGAGCCAAAGTGTCCTTTAGGGAGAGATGTTCTCTTATCAGAGAGTTACTACAGTAGAACTACCTCTCTGTATAGGACGACACCTAGTTACAGAGCCAAAGTGTCCTTTAGGAGAGATGTTCTCTTATCAGAGAGTTACTACAGTAGAACTACCTCTCTGTAAAGGACAACACCTAGTTACAGAGCCAAAGTGTCCTTTAGGTAGAGGTGCCCTCTTACCAGAGAGTTGCTACAGTAGAACTACCTCTCTGTAAAGGACAACACCTAGTTACAGAACCAAAGTGTCCTTTAGGGAGAGATGTTCTCTTATCAGAGAGTTTCTACACTAGAACAACCTCTCTATAAAGGACAACACCTAGTTGCAGAGCCAAAGTGACCTTTAAGGAGAGGTGATTTTAAAACAATTTTTAACGCCTTGCCAAATGCTTTATTTTAATTTATTTCTCCTGACGAAAAAAAAAAAAAAGATTTTTGTTGAAACGTTGAGAAAATAAAACTCTACCTGGACAAAGTGTCTATTTTTTTACAGAAATGCTGAATACTAATCTTTTTTTTTTTTTTTTTAATATGTAATACTCTCTACTTTGTAGAGACGTGTCCTCTCATGGAGGTTCTACTGAATATATAAACAGGAGGTACTGAACGACTCGACATAAACAGGAGGTACTGAACGACTCGACATAAACACGGGCGCTATAAAAGGTGAGCTTATCTCCCGGATGTCAAATTCTCATCTTAACAACAACGTGCATTGCTGTCAAACTTCTACATAACATATTTATATACAGTGAAACTACCTCCCTGTAAAGTACAACACTTAATTGCAGAGCCTAAGTGTCTTTTAGGGAGAGGTGCCCTCTTACCAGAGAGTTACTACAGTAGAACTACCTCCCTGTAAAGGACAACACCTAGTTAAAGAGCCAAAGTGTCCTTTAGGGAGATGTGTTCTTATTAGAGAGTTGCTACAGTAGAACTACTTCTTTATAAAGGACAACACCTAGTTACAGAGCCAAAGTGTCCTTTAGGGAGAGGTGTCCTCTTACCAGAGAGTTGCTACAGTAGAACTACCTCCCTGTAAAGGACAACACCTAGTTAAAGAGCCAAAGTGTCCTTTAGGGAGATGTGTTCTTATTAGAGAGTTGCTACAGTAGAACTACTTCTTTATAAAGGACAACACCTAGTTACAGAGCCAAAGTGTCCTTTAGGGAGAGGTGTCCTCTTACCAGAGAGTTGCTACAGTAGAACTACCTCCCTGTAAAGTACAACACTTAATTGCAGAGCCTAAGTGTCTTTTAGGGAGAGGTGCCCTCTTACCAGAGAGTTGCTACAGTAGAACTACCTCTCTGTAAAGGACAACACCTAGTTACAGAGCCAAAGTGTCCTTTAGGGAGAGGTGTCCTCTTACCAGAGAGCAGCTACAGTAGAACTACATCCCTGTAAAGGACAACACCTAGTTACAGAGCCAAACTGTCCTTTAGGGAGAGGTGTCCTCTTACCAGAGAGCAGCTACAGTAGAACTACCTCTCTGTAAAGGATAACACCTAATTACAGAGCCTAAGTATCCTCTAGGGAGAGATGTCCTCTTACCAGAGAGTTACTACAGTAAAACCTCCCTGTAAAGAACACCTAATTGCAGAACCAAAGTATCCCTCAGAGAGAGGTGTCCTATTACCGTAGAGTTGCAAAATAGTAAAATGGTAATTTTGCAAATGAAAACTGTCTTTTATAGAGAGGTGTCCTCTAGCGCGAGTGTCCTCTCATGGAGGTTCTACTGTATTTCAAAATGTGTACGATACGCGGCTCTTCACATTATAGAAATAAAGACATAGTTTCCATTCCCTCTATTTTTTTATTTCCTTAAAACGAAAACAAAAAGATGAGGTTTTGTAGAATCCCTTTAATATACGTCATCAACTACTATATCTTGTAATGTGTGGTATGGATTAAAGATTTTCTTTGAAATCTCCTGTTTTATCGTCAAAGAAACAAGAGGGTTTGACGCAATGGAAACTTTTTTTTATTCTATAATGTGAAGTTTGTGTGTCATATATATATCCCTCCGTTATATTTACAGTTCAAATCGATTTAAAATTCTTTTATTATACTAATTAAGAATCATATCATTTGTGTGTATATATTTTAAATTTTAGCCCCAGAGTTGTATAT